ATCAAGGAAATAGCAGTAGCTCAGTCCCACAAGTGACACCTGGCCACCAGTAAGTGTCATGAACACTATCAATGTCCATGACATAGTAGAACTTTGTGCGATGTCCTATCCCCAGACTGTTAGAAGTGATGGTGATATATTTGCCATTCCAATATTTATCTTATTTTTTTTCTTAGTATTTTTTCACTATCATGAAAGCTTTTTCTTAGTTCAACTGTTTTGAAATATTAAATTTTTAATTAGGATATTATGGAGCCACAGAGGTAACTGATTGACAATGTAGACTGTGCCTAAGGAGAGTCACCTGGAGAGAAGACATTCTCTCAGGCTTTCACAGAAAGCAAATTGGTCAAGCAATGTCTGTGACTCATCCACATGGCTGACACTGACAAAAGATCTACAAACTGCTGTACAGGGTTTAAGGGTAAGTCCTGAAGGGATTTGACTGACCTTGTCAGATACAAAAATTACATCTTTTGTCACATATGTCTTGCTTTATCTTGATCTTAACCATCCAACAGAAAAGTATAAAAATGAGGTATAAAAAGTAAAGCCATATTAATATGCGAGGCTGTAAAAGGCTCAAGACAACAACTTCTAACACTGCCAATCATACAGCTAGCCCACTACTATTATAGACTACTGGATAGTATTGCATTACTCTGCTGAATTCATGCACGATAGTATATGAAAGGCAATGGAATACACATCTCTGACAAAAGTAAATGAAAAAGGGGGCTATAAATGAAGGACCATTGTGTAGCGGAAAAAAAATATGTATATACAAAATAGCATAAATATACAGCTACTTTCTTTTAGTTCAATGAGAAGAAAATTTGGAACTAATAGTGTTTAGACAAGATATCATGTGTGCATCTTGTACTATGAATAACTACTACAAAGACAACAATATGCAATGTATGAATTATTGTAACTGTACTACTAACCTGTTTTGAAACTATCTCATTGCTACTTCTTTCTCAATAAAATTATTTTTAATTAATTTTAATTAATTGTTTACTTTTCTGAATATTGTTTAATCTTAATTTATAATGTATCTTTGACTTACAATCTACTTAAAAGACATGGTATGATATTTTCTAGTATTAGATACTTTAAAAAGTATATTTCCATTTTCTGTTGACTTTATATTACTTCTTCCTTATCTTTTACACACACATGCACACACACACACGAAAAAAATGTATATAACCCAACATAAGATTAATACTGTTTTGTAGAAACCTTCAGTGACCTTTTAAATGGGTTCATCTAATATATTTGACATAGTCTTCCATAACTATCATTTTGAGAGCTTTTTACTCTTTATCTAGGACCAGACAGCAACTTCACTTGCCTTCTGGATTATGCTCTTTGTTATTTCCTACATGCTACATCTGGAGGTATTAGAATATTTTGAGTTTGTATAACTGGAAAGTATTTTACTTTTAGTTTTCAAAGGTATGGGTTGCTAAGTATAAAATTCAATGAGGACAGATATTTTTCTTTCAGTCCTTTGAATTAATTAGTCTAGTGTTGTACACACTTGGTCTTTTTTTTCTTTCTTTCTAATATGGAATAAGATGCTATTTAATTTTGTTCTTACAGAGCAAATTTTTTTATGTGTACGCTTTAGTGATTTTTTTCTTTACAATAAGTTTTGGATAATTTCAATTTTGTGTATTTTGGTATGATTTTATTCAATTTTCTTGGAAATGTGGTCTATAATTTCAACTAAATTCAGAAATTTTAAATCTTTAAATATTTATTGCCTACCCCTTTCTAATTTGAGAATTTTAATTATATGAATATAAGTTTCTTGATTTGGCACAGAGTGAACTATTATATGACTGATCTGTAAATTCTTGATTTTTATTTTGGACAATTTTTACTGTTATATTCATTTAGGTTTGTAAATAATTTATAGTGTGCAATCTATTATTAATTTCATGCTATGCATTCATCTCAGAAATATTTCTCTAAAATTCACTCAGTCTACATCTTATAACTTTCACATTTCAATATTTGTCTATAATTTTAATATGCTATATAATTATTTTCAATAAAGTTAGTGAGAATAATAATAATAATAATAATAAAAGGAATAATAATTTTTCAAAACACCGCCAAGATTCTTTTTTTTTTAATGTTTTCTTCTTGTTTCCTCATTCCTGTTCTTTTTTTTCTTTTTAATTTATGTGTGTGTGTGTGTGTGTGTGTGTGGCCAGCTCAGCCCACCAGGGGGCGGGGCTGGCTGGCATGTGGTGCTGGGGGATTGAACCGCGGTCCCTGTGCTTTGCTAAGCTTGTTCTAAGTAGGTGCTTTAGACCACTGAGCCATCTCACCAGCCCAACTGCCAAGATTCTTTAAGACTGCTAAGGGGACTTGATAAAGGGATGACAGCAGCGGCCAAAGCAGGACACAGTGAGCTTTCCCGGGTGTCCGAAGCGCTTTGTCACATTCTACTTTCGGGTCAAGACTTGGCACCTGGAAACCACCTTATTGAATGAGCCCAATCCAGTGTGTCAAGTAATCCAAGATAAAACACGCAAGAACATACTGCTGAAAAGCATCACCAAATCGCCATGGGCGCAGCAGCAATATCAGACACAGTGACAGCTGACAGAAGCACCTTAAAGATGTGGCAGGAAACGAGACACAAGCACCACGTGGTGCTGAGCTGGGGAGCAGGAGCGCGTGAATTCCTTCTCCCTGTGTGCAGTGAAAAACGTACAACTCATTCCATATATTTACCTTCCAGCATTTTTTCATCATTGGTATTTTTTTCAAGCTAGATCTACGCAGCCTAAATTTTACAGAAATACAGTCAATGCTGGGCATGACCACACTTCCCCACCTTTACAGAGCTTTTGGAAGTAGCACCGGAGCTTCAGAAGCTAGCTTCCATTCTTACATGTTAAAAGGCACAGGCCGATTAGCAGGCACTTACAGCGAGCTCAGAGCACAGACAAGCATAAACTATCTTCCAATCACGATGGCGGCTCAAGAAATCGAACTGATCCCAGTGCCCACATGCCAGGAGCTACGTCAAGCGTTCACCAGACGAGGCAGGCAGGGAGAACTCACAGTGCTGCCCCACGGGGCTTACAACGTCCAGGAGGGGCATGCGTACTAGGGCGGCACCGAAAGGACAGAGGCGCCCGCCAGCCGGGCAATGGGAAGAAGGCGACCCCTCGTGCCTGCTCTCTGGCCCCGCGGGCACAAAGCAACGCGGGAGCCCAGGGGAGGCCTGGCAAGGCACAGGCACCACAGGGAGTACATACAGGACAGAGTCTGTGAGGAGGGCAGGGAATCGCAGAGGCCAGGTGCTGTGAGCATCGCACTCCATGATTATCCAAAGAAAAGTGAGTGTCCAACGCCAGAATGGGGAAAAGGGATCATTTTCTAAAATGCACTCCTGTACTCTTAATATATTTATTAGGCTCCACTTCTTGTAAATAAATAATTGAAAAGAAAATGGCACATGCGAAAAGTCTTCAAGTGTTCTTTGCAAAAACGAGCGTTTACATCCTAACGTCTGGTTCAAAGAGGTCAAAAAACAATGTGAAGCAGCACAACATGGCAGGCAGCAGCAAGCAGGGATCTTGGAACGCACTCAGCACACTGTAGGCAGGATCTATTGATGATTAATGCAAGGTCCAAATTTAGCTCTCACTCCTCACCAAGCTCAAGGCGATCGGTGTATGCAGTACAATGGATCGATCACGCCCTTCACCACGCTGCTTGGAGCCTGCTCTCCTCCCACAGAAAAGCTAAGCCCGGACAAACAACTCGGATGCAGGTGACTCTGCTCCCCAGATCGCCAAGCCGAGGAGGAGCCGCACTGTCCGAGTGTTGATTCTCCAGTTTCTGCACACTTATCTTTGAGTTTTCCAAAGCTTGCTGGAGAATCAACACCCCAAAGTGCAACCACATACACGACAGCTTGCCGGTACCAGATCCCGGCAGGGGTCAACCAGGGCGAAGCCCTCTGGTGACCTGCACTACTAGGCCAATCAAAGGCTGCCAGGTAGGGCTGGTCCTGGAGCGCTGATAAAAAACAGAAACAGGAAATGGCCGGACATTGTCCCCACTCTTACGTGACGGGGTTCTGAGGATGGCCAGATTGTCTTGGGCTTTCGCCTAAATCCCGTCACCTGCTGGCACTACCGTACCACAGGCCAGCCCAGCGCATCCTCCTTGGAGCTGTGGACAGCACTGGGTCCGAGAGGCACAGAGTCCAGCCCACATGTAACTTACTGTCACACGTGCCCCTTACTATTATTGTGCTGCTGTTTTTCATGGCCCCTGGAAAGAAACAGCACAGAGTCGGTCTCAACCGCAGCCCTGGCCAAGCCCGCAGAGAGGGCCTGCACGAATTGTGCCTGTCGCACCCGAAGCCAGGCCTGCTCCAGCAAGCAAGGCCTGCCTCTGCCACAGATGCTGGGACAGCCAGCCAGGCCCTGCAGACCCACCTTGGCGGATGAACGTCTGGCTGGTGTCCAGCAGAATGTCGCAGCCCTCCACGATCATCCTCTCAATGGCCAGGTTCTTCCGAATGTTCTCAGTGTCGCTCACCTCGTCGTGCATTATCCTGCCAGGCAACACGGAGGAAACGTCAGCTACTGTGCAGCACACTGCCCTGGAAGGGTTGGGCCAAGACGGCTGGCTTCGCGCTTGTGCCAAGTGAACCGGGCCTGAGGGGAAAGCAGACAGGACCACCAGGCTCCCAGCCACACCCCGAGCAAGGCCAGCACACTCGATGCACCAGCAAGCATCGTGGGAAAGTTAGCTTTGCACACAACCAGAAAGCAATGCACCGTTGCATGGGCCACCGACTCCCGAGGCGGGGGCGCCATTCCTTGGGAGCCCCAGGTAGGCGGCTCGATACTGTCACATACAAGCTGGATGAGCACAGACGCTAACAAGTGTCCAGAGCAGTGAAAAATCACTGAGAAATGGCAACTACCTTCTCTAGCTTTTTGCCAAATTTGAGTACAAAGTTTTAACTGAAAGGTTTTTGTGTGTGTGTGTGTGATGCTCAGAAAATAAACACTTCCAAACTTCCACCAAAATACACTGATTCAGTTATACAAATTTACCTGCTATAAAATCTTTCCCAGAGATGTATTTTTGCTTGGTTAAAATTAAAAGTGCATGAGGATTCAGAAGTGGAGTGAGCCTGCATTCTGCTGCACGGGAGCCCAGAGCTCGGGGCTGTGTCTGCTGGAACTCACACCGCCCAGGTCTCCACAGTGGCAGGCCGGCCCCCCGCCCCGCGTGCCCATGAGCTCCCCGCATACCTGGACAGCTCCTCCAGTTTCGACTTAGCAAACTGCAGGCTTTTCCTCTCCACATGCTCGTGGGGCGTGTGGGCCAGGAGCTCGTGCAGCGTGATTATGTACCTGGGGATCTGAAGGCAGCAGGAGGTCAGGCGGGCGACCCGGGCCTTCTGCACAGCGTGCTTGTCACCGCAGCAGCCCCAGCTCTATGCGTACAGGCTTGGCTGGCTTATAAGTCGCTTGTTAAATACATTTAGAGGGAACTATGCTTCAGGGTGCACATGCCACAAACGACTTCACAGCGAACACCCGAGAAGGCGGTTACCAATGATGTATTCTGGGATGCAGCAGCCGCTGCTTCCTTAACGTTGTCTATGGCCAAACATTTCTGAATCCCATTCTTTTTTTTGTACTGGGATCAAACTCAGGACCTTGCGCTTGCTGGGCAGGTGCTTATGCGACTGAGCTATCTCCCCGGCACCCTGAATCCCAGTTTTTCAACAGACATCACTGTTACCAAATCACTCAAGTTTCCTTATTAGACATTTTTGTCTGTTTATAGAATTCTTAAAAATTAATCGTCCTACAGCAATATTCTCTTTAACAATTCAAACTTGGGAGAAAATACATCTCCTTACTACACTTTGGTCCTACTTCATTTCATTTCATAGTAGAAATAATCATTTAATTAGGTGATGCATTTGTACCTTTGATTATGAACAGACTCACAGAATTCTGTCAGCAGCAGCAGCTTTGGCAACTAGATGAAGGTTTTAGTGGACCACACTGAGATTTAACTCAAGCTACAATGAAGTCACAGCATCAGGAAGCAGAGAGAGCCCTCAGTCAGAGGAGGGGGCGCTGCAGACCCTCAGCTTGTCCCTTCACTGCAGGAGTTCCTCACTAAATAGCGCAGGGCTACAGGTTTGTGACCAATTGAAAATGTGTACAATCACACTGAAGTGATTATTTTTTATATTTGAAATGATCCATAGCATACACAAACATTTTATCTACTCAAATTCTATGATATACAAACCTTATTTTGGACTACTTCACCCTCTGTTTTATAAAATATCAGATTGTTTACGTGTAAATATTACTTTGTGTTCATCAAAGCAAATTTTATTCATTGATTACTAATTTAGTAAGATTTAGTAACCATGCAAAAAAAAATAAATAAATAAATAAAAAATAAATAGCGCAGGGCTGGCCCAGTGGAGTCTCCAGGGATACATGCGCATTCCAACGTTCCTTTATCTGCACAAGCCATGGTCAAAGTCTGCCCCAAAGCTGGGGCTCCACCGAAAATCAAAGTGAGCAGGAGCAGGGAGCCTCTGCTCAGGATCTGAGCCAAAACCTGCAAGAGTCAGTTTAGATGGCAGCTTTGTGGGCTCCTCCCTTACCCCACCTGCTTTAAAAGGGTGCCTGGCTCAGAGTCAGTGCTGGGCAGAACTCGGCAGCTGGCAGCTGGCCCCCTGAACCTTCTGTAGGAGGAACAAACAGCACCGAAGCCACCACAAGCAGGCCTGCGAGCTCCCAGGCCACGCAGCCCCACCAGGGGCCCACCCATGTGTTTGAGAGCTGATTACAAACTGGTTCCCCAAATCACTAAATGAATCTGAATTCTGCGTTCACCAATGGGACAAATTCTTGTCACTCTGGCACATGAGCTGGCTCACTGTCTGGTTGCAGGCCAGCGGCAGAGGGCTGCTCCTGAGAGCATCTGGCCAGAGCTGGTCCGAGGGCTGTGGGCTTTCCATGCACACAGAACCAACCCAGCTGGGCCAGCTCAGCTGCAGCCACTCAGCTCACAGACTTGTGGAGCAAAAATTATGTTGACGAAGACAGTGCTCTCGTTACAAATTCCTTGCCAATGCCTGGACTGGCTGGTCCCGCTGCACAAGGGAGAGAAATTTCACTGCAACCTCCAAGTTCTCCAATTCCTCCTCATTTTCCCAAATCAACAAAGCTGGTAACAGCAGCAAAAGAAGAAGAATGCACTTGCCTTCTCTGCGGTCTACACAGACACACACGCGCATGCCCACACACACACATACGCACACGCACACACATGCGCACATGTGAGCTAACCGTTCCAGGCCCTCTCCTCCCCCCGTACCTCTCCCCCCCTTCTGCCCCATCCAAGCTCCAGGCTAAGCTAGGCTGAAGGCCCCTGGCCATGAGAACGACTGTCGCCTCTTCCACTACCACCCTCCAACAAAGAGGCGTCACGCCCTGATCCTGGGCTGCCTTCAAGGTGCGTCCAGCTGTGCCCGGGTGCTGGGCTGCAGCAGGAAGTGATGCTGCCCCTGCACACGCAGAGGGAAGGGATCACCCAGACCCTGGAGGGAGCAGACGCCACCTGGCCTCTCATCTTGTTAGGGAAAGGCCATAAGGAACAAGGAGAGGAATGAACTCAGCAAGCCAATTCTCTGGCTCCTCCTAAAAGGGCACTTTGGGACCCAGAGAGGAGGCGGAGACAGGGAGCCCAGGCCAGGCCACACTCTTGTGCTTTCCCTCCTGTCTATTCAGTAGTGACTGACTGGAAAGCGGTGTGGCGCCTCCAGTGCCTCTGCTGCCCATTCCGTCCTGCACTGGGGCAGCTCTGCTGGACTCTCAGCTTGAGGCACCTGGAGCAGGTGGGAACGCGCTGTAGCCTCTGGTCACCCCTGTCTCAAGGGAGTCTGAGGACCCCAGTGTCTGGGCTCCAACCAGGAGGCCAGCTCACCAAGGCCTGGGGGTGGGTCTGGAGCTGACGCCAGGCTCCTTGCCATGCACAGAGAAGCCAAATGCTAACTGTACACCAGCGATGTCCATGGCTGGTGGCCGGGCAGAGCTGGGCCTTTAGAGTCTCCACCCAGAGCTCAGGGCATAGAGACAGAGGTCGCCTGCAGTCTCCCTGGTCTAGACTGAAGGGCAAATGCAAGGCAGCTCTCTCCCCCAACACGCCCAGCCCAAGCCTTTTGGTCTGACATCACGGGAACTCCCACAGGCCACGGCATGCTAGGGCACCAAACTAGGCTGCAGCAGGGAGGGGAGGCGAAGAGGATCCCAGTAGTTTAAGAAACCCAGAGACCTCCCCAAGCCTCCCTGCAGGGGTGAGCAGAGTTCTGCCCCATTAGCATGCTGAGGATCCTCACTCTGGGATGGAACTGGACAGTGTGGAAGGTGTTTCCGGGCACGGGGAATGGAACCAAGACCCCACTGTTCCCAGCACTCTTCACGGCTCTGCCTGTGTACACGGCGCGAGTGGGAAGCACAGGGCAGGGCTACATCATAGGAATTTACGATGAGTGAGCTACAACAGCATGAGTCCCCTCAAACCCTCCCCCGCTTCAAACACACCCACCCCATCATTCTTGCCGCTTCCTGGAGCAGTTCTGGGAGTCCTCCTTCCTGAACGCCTCTGGCTGCGCTGTCCTGGCTGACTTGATGTCCCCATCAACTCAAAATGCTTCCCTGTCATAGGTATTGTGACTTTGGGAAGAGTCAGAAGTCACATGCCACCAGGCCTGGTGAATAAAGTCGATGAGAACACCGCATCCTGTCTCTATGAGCGGCCTTTCCATAGGGTGGCACTTGGCGGCAGCTGTCACCGTGGCCTTTCCATAGGGTGGCACTTGGCGGCAGCTGTCACCGTGGCCTTTCCATAGGGTGGCACTTGGCGGCAGCTGTCACCGTGTTTTTTATCACATCTTGTAAAGACATCCAGGAAAGAAGGCTCCAGAGCTGTTGTGGAGTGACAAGGATGACGGGCTAAGTGTACTCAAAGTGGGGAGCATGGGGAGCAGTTAAGGACAATGTCTCTCACTGTAATAATTTTTTTAAAATTTGAGCAATCATCATAGGATTCTATCACACATATTTATCTGATTTGGGGCTACAGAACTGTTACCATTTGGGATGTTGAATCAAACCCCAAGGTAATTGCCCAAAAAATAGCATTACAAAAGAATCGTACATATTATGCAAAATATTTCACTGTAAACAAAACCTGAAGCATGAACTATGTACACAGTAAAAGTAAAAGGCTAAAATTTTTCTTGTGAAATATCTCTTCAATGAGGCAAAAAGTTCAAACAATTTAGTTCCATAAAAAAGAAAACATTATAAAGTTTCTGTAAGCTTCAGTGGTTTCAAGTGCATCTTGGTGGCTGTTAGAAATTTCACTAAGCTGCTATTGTGACCTTGGGACTTCAGGAAGGAATGACGTGAGCAGCCACAGATATGCTGCTGCACAAGGATTAGCCGGGGTCCCAGGACCCAGTGCTCCGTGTAACCTGACTCGTGACCCGTGGATTCCAGCCACCACAGGGCTGTGGAAGCCTCACCAGGAGCCCCATAAATTCTGTAGCGGGAATCTGAGCCTTCCCGGAATAGAGCCCACACTTTACAAAGAACAGAAGCATCAACACGAGAGGCCTCTGCGGTCCTCACAGCAGAGCTCTCTGTGGTGAAGCCCCAAACCCAGAGAAGAAGGCAGGGGCGCTCAACCGCAGCCACCACCCCGCCTGTGCGAGGCCGCCTGACCAGGTGCCAAGAGACCCTCCAGGGCCACTGGCTGCGCCCCACTGCCTCTGAGCCATGCTGAGCGGCAGGGAGAGGCCGGGGGAGGGGCCGCCACCCAGCCTGGGGGCAGTCAGGCCTCGGCAGCTTTACGCAACCAGCGCTCGCTGGAGCAGCTGCACAGAGCCCTATTTCTGCAACTAACAATATTTTTAAACACACTGGAGGAGGAGACTCTGTGAAAGAGATCTGTGTAGAAACTTTCTATAAAGAGAAAATTGTGCTGGCTTTCCAAAAATCATTCCTGAGTTCTTTGCTTCCAAAATGCCTGCTTCTGGGGCTGGGATGTGGCTCAGTGGTAGAGGGCCTGCCAGGCGGGTGAGAGACCCTGGGTTTGCCCCGTGCTAGGGAGAAAAAGAGGAAAGGGAGGGAGGGAGGGAAGAAATGAGGGGGTGGGGTGCAGGGAAGACTGAGGGGAGAGAAAAGAAAAAGATAAAGAAAGAGGGAGAGCGGAAGAAAGACGAAAGGAATAGACAGGAGAAGATGGCCTAAAGACGTTGGGCTTCCTCCATGACGGAGGCAGCATGTACGCAGCCGAGCTGTCCGCCACGGGATAACGCGGTGATAGTGCTCCTCTCGAGGCGTCTCGGCCCTCTCTGGTCACAGCAGACATCAGGGACCCAGAGCTGCACCAACAAGCTATAGATGCGGCCCCAGGGCCATACCTGAAACATGGGGTAGGTCAGGAACGTCTCCAGCATCCTCCCCTCGCAGGCAGGGTTGGCTTCATACTGCTTTAAGAGCTTGTCAAAGTCTCTGTTCTGCTTGCAGTTGGCAAGCACTTGCAGGCTGTACTGGTGATTCCGCACAAACTCTTGGTAGATGTTCAGCATGGGCAGCAAGATATCGAACAGGTCAGCTGGGGGGAGAAGCAAACGTGGTACTTCCCCTCGTGCTTGGGAGACGGCGCGTGCCAGGGGAGGGTGGAGGGTGGCCCGGCTGCAGGGCGACACGTGGGCCCTGCTACTCAAGCCCAGAGGGCAGCGTGGGCAGAGCAAACCAGAACAGAACAGGACTCAGCCCCAAACGTCCATGACAGACAGACGAGGGGAAGGAGCCAGGGGCAGCGGGGAAGGTCAGCCAGCTGGGTTCCCGCCCTCCCGCTGTGGGCACTGTCACCCGACTCTAGGCTCGCGGGACGCACTCACCCAAAATCAAGGTGGGCCAGTTCGCTATCCGCGCCTTGAGTCCTTGATGAAATATTTCATGAAGAAACATGATTGTCTCACTGTTTAAAATAAAAAAGAGAGAGAGAAAAGCAGTACAGTGTGGCCACTGCAAAGGGTCGGTTTTGTGAAGAAGTCCAATGAGTAGTTAAAGCCCCTCCATGACACGTCTCCACCCACAGCCACACTACCATGGCCTATGCCAGGCTCCAGAAAGCGAGTCCTCTCACACCACCTCAAAAGCCCAAAGGAAAGCCCGAGATCAGCTTCAAGCCCTGGAAGCCCAGAAGCACCAAGGACGGCCGTGTTACCCTCCCCGCAGGTGAGATTCCTGCCCTTAGCTGCAGCGCCCGGGCTGACCACCCTGATGCTACAGTTAGGAGCCCATTTCCTGTCATCACCTAGGCTGCAACTCAAAGAAATGGTTTCTCTTGCCCTGAAGTGAGTTTTAACGCAGGAACAAGGGGAAAATCCACAACAAAAATTTTTGACAGAAAAGTATTATACCTACTCCTAAGATGTTCAACAGAGATGTAGAATAATCTGAAAAGAGTGAAGCCTACACTGATGCCAAAATGAGAACTGCATGAATTAGGGTTGTACATTTCTAAAGGAGCCGAGAAGGGCAGCGACAAGTCACTATCTCCTTCACTTTCTTATTAGGCTTAACCCATTGCAACAACATTAATGTCTTTTCTGAATTAATGCGCTAGCACACTTACAAGCAGAATCCTTCTGCATGCAGACACCACGCGTTCTGCATCTGCTCACCCACTGGCGGACACAAGGACCACCTCTATGAGCTGGCTGCTACGGGTTGCGCTGCTATACACGCGGGCATGCGTGGCTCACTGGGATGCAACATTCAGTCCTTACAGAACGGCATCTAGAGGGGAGCAGCTGAGCTGAATGGGATTTCAAGCTTTAGATCTCAAGGCATCTCCACACTGGCTTCCCCAGTGGCGGTGCTAGCTTGCATTCCCCCAGCGAGGCACAAGTGTTCCTTTCTCCCCACAGCCTCACCAGCTGTTAACGATTTGTTATTGTTATTTGATTTTTAAAAAATATGTATTTGGTACAAGGTCTCACTACTCAACTCAGACTCAGAGTGATCCTGCTGTTTCAGCCTCCTCAGTGCTGGGATTACAGGCGTGTACCTCCAGGTGTGGTTTTGGTGACTGGCTCAGCACAGGGCCAGCACAGCATGTGGTACCGGGGATCAAACTCAAGTCCTTGTGCTTTCCAGGCAGGCACTTAGACTGTTGAGCCATCTTCCTGATCTTTTTTTTTTTTTGCCCTTTGGTACCAGGGATCAAACTCAGGACCTTGTGCTTACTAGACAGGCCCTTATGCAACTGAGTTATCTCCCTGGCTACTGATTTTTTTTTTTTTTGGTGGAACCAGGGACTGAACTCAGGCCCTTGCACTTGCCAGAGAAGCACTTATCCTACTGAGCTATCTCCCCTGCCCATTTTTTTTTAATTCAGAAGGATTTTTTGGGGGGGGTGCTGGCTCAGGATGCCTTCAGGGCAGGTCTGGAAAAGCTTGAGGATCTGGGGATCAAACCCCAGCATCCTGAGCCTGACTGCTTTGTTTAAGCAATCTTGATTTCTTGATAACATTAATTCTTTCCAAGGAAAGCAGAATCCTGGTATCATTTTAATTTGCATTTCTCTAATGGCAAGAAATGTTAAACATTTCTTCATATACTTACTGACCACTGCAAAGATAAACTTGAATCATTTGCAGAAAAATAGATGTACCTTGATACCATAATGTTAAGTGAAATAAATCTGACACACGAGTTTAAATACCACATGGTTTCTCTTATATGAGAAACCCAAATTATAAATAAAGAGCAAAATCACAGATAAATGATAGGAAGTAGGGAGACAGCTGCTCCTCAAACAAGAAGGGAAGCAAGAGGTGGAGAGAAGAGAGAGGGAGGGAGGGGAGCCAAAGGGATGAAAAAAGGCATTAAGAGTGTCATGTCCATGCACCGGCTTCCCATGGGGAGTGTAATCATTCTGGGCTGCAAACACATACTAACAAAAATAAAAAGTAACATGTAGAAATCTTTTAAAAACACAATTCCTCCTCTCAGTGAGGAGGAATTGGCTTGTTGTAAGTCAAATTCCATTAGAGCAAATGCCAAAGAGAAGGGATCACAATGTCCAAAGGGTCCATGATACGAACTAAACACACCTTGAAGACTATCATATATTTTTTTCTTTTATAGAGAGTTCAGATATGTAGTGTTTGTGGCTCCAGGCTTTAAACCAAATCAAATTTATTGAGTCTTTTAAATTATTTCAGTCTGTGTTCCCTCCTCCTTCCAGACAGACATTGTCCCGACTCCCTTGCAGCTATATCCGGGATGCAGGTTCAGTTCCACCAGTCCAGCTGCTTGACACAACATGGAAGATAGAAGCAATTGTTGCAGTAAAAGGGCAAATTGCCAGGAATCCATCTCAAAATCCTACCCTCACCTCACAATTACCTCACACTCACCCTATCATTCTTGCTCCTTTAACCACCCCTCATATGTTTCATTTATTCACTAGTCACTGTCTGTCTCCTTGCATCAAAATTTAAATCCCATGAAACCTGAGACTTTCTACTTTGTCCACTAATTAGTCATCAGTAATGAGGACACCAGGAATATTTGTAATATGAGCAATTAAGTTCAGCAAGGATTCTCAAGTTTTATCTTAGTCTCAGGTCCTTCTAAAAGTGCTTGTGCGTAAACCAGATGCAAAGACCCCTCGATCCCTCATGCCCCTCTGTGGCTGGGATGGTATCTTCCCCAAGCTCACCCCACACAATCACAAGAGCAAAGTAAACTGAGGAAACAGGAAACCACATTCCCGAGATCCCAGTGGGCACTAATAACCAAGCAAAATGCAATGCTAGTTTTCTTACCACTAATGTCCACGGGCCCTGCTGCCTAACCTTTTGAGAATAAGGGAAAGCTCTTTTAAGAACTGCAAATGGGCTTCACCTGACTCTGGACTTGGGCAAAGCCATACCTATTGAGGAAAATGCTGCTGACATCATCGTGGCTGATAGGCGGCTTCTTGGAACTAGCAGCCATGCGCAGGGGCCTCAGGAAGCCATTGACCAGCACGTGGAGCTGGTGCACGTACTCGGACTCGGCCTCCACCATGGCAAACACAATCTGGTTCCTCTTGCGCATGCTCTCGGCATGGGGTGAGCAGATGTAGTCCTGCACAATGGTCTTCCACTTCCTCCTGCACAGCCAGCCCCGCATAAAGCTCTGGACCTGCAGAACAGAGGGAACTGTGTGACACGTGGGCCTGGATTTCTCATGCCTGCCATGGTGGCTGAGGCTGGAGGATCTCAGCCTGGGAAATAGCGATTTAGCAACACCCCATGTCAACATAGAAATCAGAAGAAGGGCTGGGCACATGGCTCAGTGCGAAGACCCTGGGCTTGATCCTCAGCACCGGGAGAAAACACATTGTGCCTTCATGGCTACACCAGTGTCCGTGAGGACAGTAGCTGATGGCAGGCTCTCTCCAAATAGCAATAAAAAGGGATAATTTTTAAAGATAGCATTTTTTTCTTAGGTCCACAACTGTCTTCCATAGCTTAAGCTCTCAGGCTTGTCCAAATGAACCCTACAAAATAATACTATACATTTATTAATAACATTTCAAGAAAGAAACACATTGAGGGATTTTTACAAAATTGTTTTAACACATGTTTTTTAAAAAGCTGAAAATGTACTGTTTCCTCTTTTGTAGCACAAGGTTGGATCCACAGCCTCGTGCACAGGAGACAGGAACGTTGTGGCCCAGGCATCTCCCCCTAGGGATCCTTAAGCACCCAGTCCACGATCATCATGAATTTTAGGCACACGGGTCAGCAGCAGTCAGTGTGTCCAGCATCTCTTGGGAAGAGATCCCTGGCAGCTCTGCATGCCCTGAATTGGATCTTCCACCTGGCTGTCACTGGGGATCGTACTGCGCCCCATGGCTGCTGTAAGTGCTCCACGGGCATGCGCACCTGTGTCTCTGCGACACCGTCTCCTTGTTCCCCTGGCCACTTAGCCAAACACGGATTGCTGGGCAGCAGGGCAGCGCTGCTGTTCATTTTTTAGGAGTTGTTTTCCACACAGGTTGTACCCAGGCAGGGGGCACCAGCATCCCCATTCTCACGGCTACTCTGCAATGCGCCATTTCCTGTCATTTCTGTGACATCGGCTGCCCTGACCGCTGTGGAGCTACAGCTCACTGTGAGTTTTATTTGCATCCCTGTCGTCACCGTGGTGTCCAACTTCATTTGCTCACAGGCAGTCATGTATTGTCTCTGGACAGTGGTGCATTTAAATCCTTTCCCTGTTTTTGAATCTGGTCTTTGATTTCTTCTTGCTGAATTTTGTGTTTTAAGTTTTAAAAATAAGTCATCCAGCGTCTCCTGTAAATGAACATGCTGAACTTGGAGGTAAATCACACAGCCGTAGCCAGGCTGTCACCTCTTTGCTGGTCTCTTGCTAATTGTAAAGACATGGCCTCAGCCATGTAGGCAACATGCACACCAACTACTTACAGTAGTGATTATTTTGTGAAAAAAAAACATAAAATACAATTTAATATGAAGTATATTTTGTAGAGACATCATGGCCTCTAGGATCAATCCGAATTAGTTACAAGAAACAGGCAAATCTGGGAAGCAGCACTGTGGGATGAACCAAGCAACAAACACTGACTGTGCATCTTTCAAACACTAAGAGGCTTTGAGGGTGCTGAGCAGACAGGTTCACCCCATTATCCATAAGCCCCAGTTTTACCACCAACCAACACAGAGCCCTGGACTCTCACTCCGTTTCCTCATCTGAGAAAGAACTGACCAAGAAACATGAAGTCTTCTCTAAATATAAAAGTTATATGATGATTGTTATAGTTTGGGTCTAGGTGTCCCCCCAAAGCCTCATGCAGTCATAGGGCAGCTTCTGGAGTTTGTGATTAGTATTGTGGGTGGATGGGCTGCACCCGCCCTGGGGCAGGGAATTTGCATCACGGTGTAAGGAGGGGAGAGAGGCTAGTGAGCTGCCTGAGCTGTGGCCACTCCCTTCGCTTGCTCTCCTGCTCTCTGCCACCGCCGTGAGCGGCTGCCCTCCGCCATGTGCCATCTGCCTTGGAGCTAGCCTAGTATGGACTGAACCCTCCCCTGACTCTGAGCTAAATACACCTTTCCTTCCTTCAGTTTGGGTGTCGGGTACTTGTACCAGCAACGAGAAGAATATCTGAGACAATGATTAACTAAGATTTGTCACATTAGACATGGCAGATTCAGCAACAAGCTGCGGTACAAATTCACCAACAGCTGAAAGCATCAACTTCACACCAAACTTTTTTTCTTTTTTTGAGCAGCATTACCCAACACTCCTGACCACCTTCAAATTTTCTTCTGTTCCATTTTCCTGCACAGTCTAAATGATCATGTATTTGAACGTCTCCCCCTCTGTGCAAAGGCTAACATTTTCTTGTTTGATTTCAGACGCTGACACACTATAAGTGTTCATGCAGGTGTTGAGGTTACACAATAAACATTAAGCACACTTTATAGATTCTATGGGGAAAGTGCCGGACGTGGCGACGAATGCCTGAAGTGCTGCTTGGGGTGCTGAGGCAGGAGGAGGGGAGCTCAGGGCAGCCTGGGCACCCTAGCAAGACCCTGTCTCAAAATAAAAGATGAGAAGGGCTAGGGAGGTAGCTCAGTGAGAAGCCCCAGGTTCACTCCTCGGACCACAAAAAGAATTATATGGTGAAACTATATAAGTGTATTACTTGGGGAAATCTAATGGAAAATTCCTATGAATTATAAGCGACTTCAAGCTGCACTCTCTTGAAATGAAAAAAAATTACATTTTGACAAGAGCAGAATAAAGAAACAATTAATTTGTAAATGCATCCCTTTCCACAGATGTTACTTTGATTTGGGACATTAATGATAATAAAATTAATTTCGAAACCTATCTAACAAATTTAGAAGCATATTTAAAAATTACTTCTACTAAGAATTAGAATGGTAGAAAATGTAAAAATATACATATTCTATCATTATTGCTCCATTTAATAGAAGTGTTTTCAAAAACCAGCTTAATTAAATTTTGAGTTAAAATCTTCCTGTGCTCTCAGGCAGGCCCTGCTGTCAGTGACAACAGCAGCTGGTTGGCCTATTTACACCAGACAGCTTCCACCAGCAAGCTGAGCACTGGGTCTGGCTGATAACTTTCTTTACACGCAACTGTACACTGTTAAAGAAAAGAAATAGCACTAACCTTATGACACAATAACAGAAATTAGATTCAAATGAAAATCTTAAATTGTAGGAAAAGAGTGGAGCTATTTTGCCTTTTTATTTCTTGAAAACTGAAAATATTCGATTTAGTTCAAAGAATTAGTTGTATTCCAAATTCTAAGCAATATCAGTTTAAAGTTTTGTTACAGTGAAAGTGAAATAATGCTTTAATGTAGAGAAACAGGAATAAGAAAACAGTAAGACACGAAGTTGTAGGCCCAGGCAAAGCACATTAAATAGGACACTTTCTATATTGTTTTCTACAAAGCTGAATGTCTTACATGAGGCAATTAAGATCACAAAACAAAGTTCACATCACCAAAATCCAAACGTGGTGGACTAGAAAGAGCGTCCACGTCTGTCTCCCGGAAGAGCTGAGCAATTACAAGGAACAACATCCAGCACCAAGCAGCAGAATCCTGTCACATTAAGAAGCTTCTGCGCAGCAAAGGCGCAACCTACAGGGTGGGCAACAACTGCCAGCGACTCCTCAGAGAGAAGGCTAGTATCTAAAATACATAAAGAATGCAAAAAATTAGAGCCCCAAAATAAAAGACGCAGTTAAAAAATGAGCTACTGAAATGAATAGATGCTTCGCAGAAGAAGTAAACATGGCCAATAAATATATGAAAAAAATTTTAACATCGCTGGTCATTACAGATTCAAGCCACACTGAGATTCCATCTCACTCCAGAAGGAATGGCTACTATCGTGCTAGATCGCAGGGCAAGAGCATTTCTAAACTGCTGATAGGAATGTAAATTAGTACAACCACTATGAAAATCAGTATAGAGCCTCCTCAAAAGGCTAAAATTAGAAATTCCATTCTTCCTGTTACAGCCTGGGTCTCGATGTGCCCCCGGAGCCTCACATGGCCGTAAGGCGGGCTTCCAGAGCTTGGGGTGCATTACCCACCGCCGTGCTCACGGGGGCCACCCTGCCCTGGAGCAGGCAGCCTGAACGCAGCAGCGTAGGGCGGGGGACAGCCATGCCTCTGCCCCTGCTCCTCCCTTTCGCTTTTGCTGCTTGCTGTCTTCCACCGCCATGAATGGCTGCCCTCTGCCCTGGGCCGCTCTGCCTTGGAGCCAGCTGATTAGGGCCTGAAACCGCCACACACTGTGAGCTAAATAAGCCTCTCCTTCCTTAATTCTGGAGGTCAGGCATTTTGTCCCAGCCATGAGGGAAAAGTAACCAGCATGCTGCCTGGCTACTCCCTTTCTCAGAATATCCCTCAAAGAGTTAAAGAATCCACCGCAGGGAGCCATACCCCCAAGTTTATAGCAGCACAGTTCATAATGCTAAACCTGGCAGCAGCCTCTGTGTTCCACCAACAGATGGACGGATGAAGAAACTGGTGTTCACACAGTGGTGAGCTGCGCTGCCACATAAAGGATAGACTCCAGTCGGGTGCAGGAAAACAATGTCCCGAGACCACAGTACAAAGGGCAATAAGCCAGCCGTGCGAGCTTCACTACTGCATCGTTTCTCTTTCTTGAGACACCCAAAGTGTAAGGAAAAAGCAAAACAAAAGGTAGACGATAGGAAGGATGGAGACGGGTCCTCTGCCAGTGGGAAGGGGCCCGAGGGGTGGAAGGAGGCGGGGAGAATCCAGTGCGCTGCATCTGCACGGCTCCCCACGGGCAGCACGCACGGGGCACGGCACAGTGGCACAGAACGCGCACGGAGCGCACACGAAGGAGAGCTGTGCGGTCACGAGCGTCGGAGAGAAAGACCTGCCCTTTGTGTGGTCGTTAAGTGGGACACGACGATAACAAAATGAACGAGCAGATGTAGTGACTTACTCAATTTTCTCACATGTTCAAAAAAGAGATCTTCCCTAGGCAGCACTGAAGACTACCCTGAGAAAAGTGCTTTGCAAATTTGACTTCTGCAGTTCTCCAGACAGGCGCAGCACGGCTGAGCGGCGGCCGGAGCCCGCAGGGCCGCGGGAGGCCGGGCCTGGGCCTGCGGGCTGCCTCCCCGCCACCACCAGCGGGGCAGAGTGAGAGCTGCGCCAGCGGCCGCCAGCTCAGCCGAGATTCTCCAGAACGCCCAGGCCGGTCACTTGGAGGGCGGGTATGGGCACCTTGGCACAGCAGATGGAGGCTGCTCCCAGCCTGGACACCGCAGAAAGATGTCATCTCAGAGCAAAGGCATGCGGGCGCAGGCCCAGAGCTGGACGGCATCGTTCTGCCTGTCTTTCTTTCATTTGTTCATTCATTCGTTCGTTCTTCTTTCCTTCCTTCCCTTCCCTTTCCTTCCTTCCTTCCTCCCTTCCTCCCCCTGCTTCTGTCTATTATCTGGAATGAACCCAGGTCTTCCCATTGAGCTACATCCCCAGCCCTTTCGATTTATTTATTTTTAATTCTGAGATAGAGTCTCACTGGTTGTTCAGGCTGGGCTCAAACTTGTGATCTGCCCACCTCGGCCTGCCGAGTGCTAGGACTGTAAGCATGCCCCACCACGCCCTGCTCACCCCACCTTTTTAATCTTCTTGATGTCTGGGTCCTCATCCTCTTGGTGGCTCTGGTAAGGGCGCATCCGCTCCTTGGTTTTGTTCAGAGCAATAATCTGCAACACACAATGGGTCTGCTTTAGTAGCAGGGAGGAGTGGGCACGGTGGTGGCTGGCAGGAAGGCCCACGGGCACTCTGGGCAACCTACCTTCACCACCCCTCCTCCTGGGAGCCAGGATCGGGAGCGCACACTAGGCCCCAAGTGCTGACAGGAGGAGAGGGTGCAAGGTGTGACCAGGAGGGATGTGAGCCCAACCCTGGCCAGACTGAACAGCCCTTTGGGACGCATCAGTCCCCTCCTGCAGGCTGCTCCCGGTGCCCTGAGGCTTCCAAACACAGGACAACACTCCAAGCTCTCAGGTCCGCAATTGGCAGTGGCTGTCAGGGTGTGCAGTGTGGGGTCCCAGGCCCTTGTGGGGTCTGCGCAGGCAGCCTCGCCCTGCTGGGGTTAGGCCCACCCACCAAGGACCCCTCAGAAAGGGGAGGAGGGACTGAGGCTGCTTCCATCTCCCTGCCAACCTCCTGCTCAGCTCTGTGACCTGAGGGACAATTCAAGATCACCTGGCAATGACCTTCCCTAGACAGCAAGAACCCAAACAAATCCACAAGGAAGCCACATTTAAAAGCGAAGAAAGCAGGGTCACCCCAAGCTTCTCTGGGTCTTGCCCCCAAATACTCTGTCTGCCTCTGGCAGGGAAGCAGGGAAATAAACAGAATAGAGACAAGTCTGGCTCTGCAGGCAGCCTGCCCCAGCCCTAGCCCCAACCCCTGCTCCTGTCCCTATTCCTACCCCAGCTCCTGCCCCAGGCCCCAGCTCCTGCCCCAGCTCCT